TCAGGTTAAGAACGGACCTCCAGAACAAATTAAGTACTTAACCCGAGGTACCACTGTACTGCCCACCTAGAATCCTGAAACGCCCACTAGTGGGCGGTAGGGACCAGGTTGACAACCCATGATCTAATGTATGCTGAAGAATTGAGACACCAGTTTTCCATCTTGGAATAATTATGTACAGAGTAAGATATGCTATCTTATCTATCCTTCCACTGATGTATGATGAAAGTGCAGCATATTATTTATGCAGAGATAACTTTGTCTGCTGCTGAAACCAAACATCTTCCAGTAAAGAACCTTACAATTACTTCGAAATAACATTGAATCCAAAGCAGTTGAAGATGCAGCTGCCATTGCGCTGAATATACCTTTCAGATGGTTAACAGAGCAACAATGCCTGGTGAATGAGGACAGCTTCTTTCACTACAGGGATCTGAAACACACATTCCCATCTCTGTTTTATGAAGAGAATCTTGGAGGTTGCTTTTCATGATTGTTTTTGACACAGAAAAGGTTCATAGAATCATAGAATCATAGAATCATAGAGTTGGAAGAGACCACAAGGGCCATTGAGTCCAACCCCCTGCCAAGCAGGAAACACCATCAGAGCACTCCTGACATATGGTTGTCAAGCCTCTGCTTAAAGACCTCCAAAGAAGGAGACTCCACCACACTCCTTGGCAGCAAATTCCACTGTCGAACAGCTCTTACTGTCAGGAAGTTCTTCCTAATGTTTAGGTGGAATCTTCTTTCTTGTAGTTTGGATCCATTGCTCCGTGTCCGCTTCTCTGGAGCAGCAGAAAACAGCCTTTCTCCCTCCTCTATGTGTCATCCTTTTATATATTTGAACATGGCTATCATATCACCCCTTAACCTCCTCTTCTCCAGGCTAAACATGCCCAGCTCCCTTAGCCGTTCCTCATAAGGCATCATTTCCAGGCCTTTGACCATTTTGGTTGCCCTCCTCTGGACACGTTCCAGTTTGTCAGTGTCCTTCTTGAACTGTGGTGCCCAGAACTGGACACAGTACTCCAGGTGAGGTCTGACCAGAGCAGAATACAGTGGCACTATTACTTCCCTTGATCTAGATGCTATACTCCTATTGATGAGGCCCAGAATTGCATTGGCTTTTTTAGCTGCCGCGTCACACTGTTGGCTCATGTCAAGTTTGTGGTCAACCAAGACTCCTAGATCCTTTTCACATGTACTGCTCTCAAGCCAGGTGTCCCCCATCTTGTATTTGTGCCTCTCATTTTTTTTGCCCAAGTGCAATACTTTATATTTCTCCCTGTTAAAATTCATCTTGTTTGTTTTGGCCCAGTTCTCTAATCTGTCAAGGTCGTTTTGAAGTGTGATCCTGTCCTCTGGGGTGTTAGCCACCCCTCCCAGTTTGGTGTCATCTGCAAATTTGATCAGGATGCCCTTGAGTCCATCATCCAAGTCGTTGATAAAGATGTTGAATAAGACCGGGCCCAAGACAGAACCCTGTGGCACCCCACTAGTCACTCTTCTCCAGGATGAAGAGGAACCATTGATGAGCACCCTTTGGGTTCGGTCAGTCAGCCAGTTACAAATCCACTGAGTGGTAGCATAGTCAAGACCGCATTTTACCAGCTTCTTTACAAGAATATCATGGGGCACCTTGTCAAATGCCTTGCTGAAATCAAGGTAGACTACATCCACTGCGTTCCCTTCATCTACCAGGCTTGTAATTCTGTCAAAAAACGAGATCAGGTTAGTCTGACATGACTTATTTTTCAGAAATCCATGCTGACTATTGGTGATCACAGCATTCCTTTCTAGGTGCTCACAGACTGTTTGCTTAATGATCTGCTCCAGAATCTTCCCTGGTATTGATGTCAGACTGACTGGGCGGTAATTATTTGGGTCCTCTCTTTTCCCCTTTTTGAAAATAGGGACAACATTTGCCCTCCTCCAGTCTGCCGGGACTTCGCCTGTTCTCCAGGAATTCTCAAAGATGACTGCCAGTGGTTCTGAAATCACATCTGCCAGTTCTTTTAATACTCTTGGATGCAGTTCATCTGGCCCTGGAGACTTGAATACATCTAGACTAGCCAAGTATTCTTGTACTATCTCCTTAGTTATTCTGGGCTGTGTTTCCTCTGCTGAATCATTTGCTCCAAATTCTTCAGGTCGGGCATTGTTTTCTTTATCGGAGAAGACTGAGGCAAAGAAGGCATTGAGGAGTTCAGCCCTTTCTGTGTCCCCTGTTTGCATTTCACCATCTTCTCCTCTGAGTGACCCCACGGTTTCTTTGTTCTTCCTTTTGCTACGAACATACCCATAAAAGCCTTTTTTGTTGCTTTTAACCTCTCTAGCAAGCCTGAGTTCATTTTGTGCTTTAGCTTTTCTGACTTTGTGTCTACACGTGCTGGCTATTTGTTTGAATTCCTCTTTGGTGGTTTCCCCCCTTTTCCATTTTTGTACACATCCTTTTTTAATCTTAACTCAGTTAAAAGTTCTTTAGATAGCCACCCTGGCTTCTTTAGGCACCTTCCATGTTTCCGTCTCATTGGTATTGCCTGAAGTTGTGCTTTTACTATCTCCCTCTTAACGAACTCCCAGCCATCTTGAACTCCCTTTCCTTTTAGTATTACTGTCCATGGGATCTCACCCAGCACTTCCCTAAGCTTTATGAAGTCGGCTTTCTTAAAGTCAAAAAATTGAGTCCTAGTATGCTTGGCTGCTCCTTTCCGCTGTATAGTAAACTTCAGAAGAGCATGATCACTCGCGCCTAATGATCCTTCCACTTCTACCCCACTAACCAGGTCATCAACATTGGTTAGGACCAGATCTAAAATGGCTGTTCCTCTTGTTGCTTCTCCCACTTTCTGGACAATGAAGTTGTCTGCAAGGGCAGTGAGGAATCTGTTTGACCTTATGCTCTTGGCTGAGTTTGACATCCAACAAATATCCGGGTAATTGAAGTCCCCCATTACTACTATCTCCCTTCCTTTTGCATGCTTGACCATCTGTTCCAGGAAGGCATCATCTATGTCCTCCGTTTGGCTTGGGGATCTATAGTAAACTCCCACAATGAGGTCACTGTTATTCTTCTCTCCCTTAATTTTGACCCAAATGCTCTCACTTTGGCTTTGAGGTTCTAAATCTTTGATCTCTTCACAGGTATACACATCCCTGACATATAACGCCACTCCTCCTCCTTTCTTGTCTGGTCTGTTTCTTTGAAATAGATTGTATCCCTCCATTATTACATTCCAATCGTGGGATTTATCCCACCAGGTTTCAGTGATTCCTATTATGTCATATTTAGTTTGCTGTACCAGGAGCTCAAGCTCATCTTGTTTATTTCCCATGCTTTGCGCATTAGTGTACAGACATTGAAGTCCATTAATCATTCCCCCGTGTCTCTTATTTAAGGATTTTCTCCTCCCACCACTAGGTCTGCATGCTCTTTGCTCCATTCGGTCTATGACATTTGGATGATCATCTTCATCAATTGATAGACTCCTACCTTCAGGAGCACTGTCTCCCTCCCCCACATTAGTCAGTTTAAAGCCCTCCTGATGAGGTTTCTGAGATTTTTTGCAAAAACATTCCTCCCAACCGTTGTGAGGTGCAGCCCATCGCTTGCCAGAAGTCCATCTTCAAGAAACTGCATTCCGTGATCTAAGAATCCAAACCGTTCCTGTTTGCACCATTTGCGAAGCCAGTTGTTCACTTCCACTATTTTTCCCTCTCTCCCTGGGCCACGTCGTTCAACTGGGAGGACAGATGAGATGACAATTTGTGCATTTAATTGCTTCAATTTCCTGCCCAGAGCCTCGTAATCTCTTTTGATCTTCTGGAGGCTATTGCTTGCAGTGTCATTGGTTCCCACATGAACCAAGAGGAAGGGGTATTTGTCAGTGGGTTTTATGATTCCTTGCAGTCGTTCAGTTACATCTTGGATCTTAGCCCCGGGGAGACAGCACACTTCCCGAGACATCTTGTCAGGCCCACAGATCATGGAGAGGCGTAGCCTTGCAAATCTGTGTTTTAGTTGTGATCCCTGCTTTGTATTAGGGTTCCTTCAAACTCTACAGTTCTATGATTCTTTGAAATCTGGAACTATGCAGGCAATTAAGAATACCTCTTTCCATGACAGTTACTGATGTCGTGAGCTTTAACTTTTTTATATGGTTGTTATTATATGGTTTTATGTTTTGTTGTTCTAAGCTGCTTTGTTTTTTTGTGAGGAGCAATATACATTTTTTTAAAATAAATAACTGGCCAATTTCACTTAAGGAACATCTTTGTTTTTCTGGTATCGGGGAGGGAGAATTTGTGGACCATTTTCTTTCATAACAATCCCATAGCAGAACTTCATCTGGAGGAGCCACTGGAATTCTGATACTTTAATGTTTAAGTGATGACTAGGACTTAACCTCATTGTACACAATGAGACTTAATTCTGAGTGGACACAAATAGAATTGCACTGTAAATGAGATCAATAGGAATTCAGAGAATATTTGTATGAAATGGCTATAAACTATTAATGGCAAGGGCTCACAGTTACTACTTTGTAAGAAAACACAACATTGGTAATACCGGATCTTATTTCTTCTAATATTTATATGACCTTTACCAGGAAGGAAAATATCCCTTTGTCAATGCCAACTATTGGAAGACATCTCAGTTCTCATTGCCAATACTTTCCACATTTGGTATACTGGGAATAAACTCTTAGTTTCTTCCTAATGATTTTCCTACCTACACTTTACTTCAGCATTGTCTGTGTTTTAGCTCCTGTTAATGTGAATGAATTTGTTTATTTTGCTTGTGACATAATACCTCTAATTTGGTGATTCAAGCAACTAGCCTTCTCAGAAGCTGTTGCTGCAGTAATTGAAAGCTGTTGCAAACAAGTGAAATTGTTCAGCCTTTGCTAAGATGCCTATACAATTTTTAGTGCGATTTCCTTAATGGATGTTATCTGTTGCGTAGGATTCAGCAATTTTAAACTAATGTTTTGCAGGGATCAGCTTTTAGCAGTCAGCAATATGAAGCGTACAATCTTTTCTTAACAACAGCCATTGGTGATGGCATCAAGCTCTGGGATTTGAGAACACTGAGGTAACACAGTTTATTTGTCTGAGCCTGTGCGTGAATGCTAACTGTGACAAAAGTGGTTGGATTGTCACTAGGCACTATGAATCTAGGATAATCTCTGTTTTTGTGAACAGCGAAGCCCATTTTTTTCTCCTCATGTTCAATTTATATGTCTCTTTTTCTATCATGTTTATGTGAATTCTTTTTAACATTTATGTGTATGCATATGCCTAGATATGTACTGATGATTCTGCAAATTTACGTTTTGTATAGAATAACAGTTACAGTCCAAAGCACCAACAGACTCTGTAATATATAGAATCAGATTCTATTTTTATTCTAAACCATCCTTTTCCAACCTGAAGCCTTCCAGATGTTTGGGACTACAGTTTCCATCTGTCCTGACCGTTGACCATGCTAGTTGGAGCTAATGGAGTCCAAAACATCTAGAGGAGTCCAGACTGAGGAAGGCTACTGGGCAGAGCAATCCCAACCAGTCAATTATGCCAGAATGCAGATGTGCTAGTATATGTTCTTTGTAAATTTAAACTGCATCCTACTGGCTCCTCACCATCTGGGAGAGATTAGGTTGTGGCATATCCTGCTACCCCCCCACGCCTGGTTGAATTGACCTTCAGCTGGTGTAAGTGGCTTACCCTGGTATATCTACTTACACTGGCTGAGAGGAAACCTTCTTGCCGTAAGGTAAGAAGGCAAAAGTTATGCTAGTATAAATGGCAAACACGGTGCTTGTTAAGAGTGGGAAATGAGAGTGTCACAGCCAGGGAGAGTTACACTGTATCCTAACTCCATTCATTGGTCCCAACCACAGAGTTTGGTGTACACCATCAAAAATGCAAGTATAACTAACATTTAAGCCATGAGAGTCAGTGGAAGAGCAGAAAATGCAGATTTACACTCCTCCTCCCCCCAGTTTCTTCCCCAGCCGGGAGCAGTCAAGATGCAGCTTAATTTGGTGTGTTGGTGTGTATATGTTACATTTCTTCAACATTTTAGAATATAAGTTTTCCTGTTGCAAATAGCCCTGTGGTTTATGCAGTGGGCTATATATAAATAACTTAAATCTGGTAGATTAGGATTGCTCTGCCCAAATGCAGGAACATTTTTAATACAGGTGCACTTAACCAGGGAGATGGTTTAAGTCACCTTTTAAAATCTATATATATTTAAGAGCACATGTGGTGGTGAATCCTATTCTAAAGCAACGGAACTTTGGAATTAAGTAATGAAACAAACCCTTTTAATCTTAAAAACCTTTTTCATCTTATCTGACTTGAAAAGCATTTCATATGCAGATGAGAGCAGAAGAACAGAAAAAAACATATATGGGGAAAACGGTGTTAATTATTGAATTGTAGAGGATGTAGAAGTGAAGTGTGTTTGAAAAACTGCTTTGGAAGAATATGGCGGCCAGCTTAATATCAGTTGATTTTTTGGTTATTGTTTTATAATTTAATCTTATCTTTTTTTAGAGAGTTTGTAAGAACGTGCCAAAATATAAAGGTTTATTACCCCTACCAAATGTCAAAAAGTAATAAAATGAGATACTTTGGGGGTTGGACTCTGTTACATCCTTATGTTTTTGCAATCAACTGGTCTAACTACAACTCATGAAAATGAAAAATTGGAAAGTTTTTCACAGGTCACTTATCTGCTGCCTCCTTTTCAAACATTAATTTAAGTAAAGCAGTTGAATGGTAAAATAGTTAAAAGTAAAATCTGGGTAAGCAGTTTAACTGTATTGTAGCTAATGGCCTTGCTGTATGATGTGTTATTAATGTTGTCAGGTCTTTTGTATAAGAGTCTTTCTTTCCACTCCTGTTTTTTGTTTTCTCCTCCCTTATTTCTGTTTCCACACTGTCTCTTTCAGTGGCATTAGTTGATTTGATGTGATGTCATAATGAGATTGTGTTAGTTGGTGGGTTATATCCCCAGCGGTCATTGACTTAGTGGGCTTAATATCCACTGTATGCTTAGAGGGCTTGTAGAGACTTTAGACCCTGAATTATAATTCTATAAATTCTGTGGGCCTTCAGTGTGAAAATACTAATTTCCACTAACCCATGGACTGTTGAATGAAATATTCAGAGGTTGTGAACCTTCTTCTAATGCATGATTAAACATAGAAGCAATTTGTTTATTCTTTTGAAAGAAGTAGTGCTTTATTTATTGAATTAAACCCTTTCTGAAGGTGTGAACGTCATTACAAAGGTCATAGCAGCCGCTGTCACCCTTGTGGAATCGCTGTTTCTCCTTGTGGACAATTCATTGCCTGTGGATCTGAAGATAAATGTGTATGTATTAGTAGTTTATTTCTAGTGTATATATGCTACTGTAAATACAGAAAGTTTTGTGACCTCTTACAGCTTTTTGAACTTACAGGAATTTGGAATTGTTGGCCTTTTAATTGATTCTTTTTTTTTACCTGAACTAAATTCAAGAATTCCATCACATCTGTGTGTTTATTTGGATTTTGGAACTTGTTGCATATTTCACAAGTTAGCTATGGCTATTTTATTATTTCATGGTGAGGATGCATCTGTTTATATGAAACTACACCTATGTCTGGTAAATCCAGGTGTGAGTCTGGGGAGTAGGTAAAAGATGAAGACCAGGACTAAGGGAAATTGAAATTTGAATATTGTGAAAACATAGGCTGCCATTTCAGCTTTCCGTGCAGGGAATGGGAAAGGAAGTTTAAAGCAAGTTTTGAAAGCTTTTCCTAATATATACAAGACTATATTGTAAAAAATAAAATGGAAAACAGCACATTGAAAGATAAGATAGCTGTGGCTTAGGCTATACATGTTCTTGAAGAGTAATTACATGTGATCTGAAGTATGGGAAGGGGCTGGAATACCCTTATGAGGAAACTGAACCAGGCCCAAATTGCCAAGATATCTATTTTAGTATTTATGTAATTAGGAGGAATGTTTTGTGGTTTTCCTCAGTATATTCGGGGAACAATAATGCAATTGAGGATGCTCCTCAAGGTGGTGATGGCTGATAATTCACTTCTACCTCTTTTAGGCTGGAGCATGCCTTGCATCCTGAGCTTTGCCTCTTGTAATTACAGGTTGCCAACCCAGATTAAGTGGGAATAGCTTCCTGTTCACCCAGTACGGATTTGATTATGTGATTCTGTTCAGAAGGGTCTCCCTCCCATCTCCCCATCAATTCTGTTGGCCAACAGTGATATTATTCTTGACTCTAAATAGTGGAATCCAGAAACAAATCTGTTATATAAGCTTCCTCTTTCCTGTTAAGTTTGCAACAATTGTTTTTGTGACATACGCAGTTCCATTTAGAGAGTTTAGAGCTTCACCTCTTCTTTTAAAGAAATGTGTAATGAATAAGAAGCCAAAAGAAGCAATAAAAGTAGGATTATTAATCATAAAATGCCTTCCACAAGTGTTGGATGGGGAAGAATTATGTGTTTGCTGCGCTGCTTAAAAATAAAATGGAAACCATATTCCCTCTTGATTCAGGGACAGGTTACTGTAAACAAGAGTTTCAGGTGCTTTGCCTCCTGTTTCCTCCTTGTAAAAACAGGTTGGGGAGCGATAAACTAAGAGTTCTCCATTCTCCAAACCATTCCTGAGGAAGCCTCACCGCTCTACCACCCATTCACTTTGGGAGGCTATAGAGGGCTGTAGCCAAGAAGAGGGGTGTAAAAGTACTGTTCTATTTGCAGTTTGTTGAATCCAAGCTAGTATTTTAATTCTAGTGTTGTAGCCTTAGCTCTATGAATGTTGTGAATTATAAAAGTAGCTTTGAAGAATTCAGGAAAATAAGTGTTTCATGGGGAGGAGGGTTGGAGAATAAAATCACAGCAGAATCCTAACCATGCCTACACAGAAGTAAGCCCTACTGATTTCAATGGGGCTGACTCCCAAGATAAGTGTAGTTAGAATTGCCACCTCAGTTGCTAGTTGGTTTAGTTAATTATATGCCACCTTTCTCTAAGGTGAAAGTATACATAGGATTCCCAGGTCGTCTCCCATCTGAGCACTGATCAAACTCAGACCTATTTAACTTCACCATGGTTGTTGTTGTTGTTATTATTATTATTATTATATAATAATAATAATTTCATTTATAAATTGCTTCCTGAAGTGATTTACTGTTGTCTCATGTGCCTTTAGACCATACCCTGGGAGTTAAGTTGATGGGGTGCTTGTGTCTGATTCCAAAATTTACACACAAATAATGGATAGGAGCATTCTGGATGACCTTCACCTTGCCCTGGGTCCTACCTGAGAGGTCATCCATGACATGCATAGTGATGTTAAATTCTCGAGACTATTCTCACCTCACGCAGACTGTTAATATCCTATTTTTTTGGCCAGAGGAATGAGAATTATTAACATTACAGAGAATAAAAGTAATGCTTAGAGGAAGCCAAAAAGAATAAATATGTCTGGCATGAAGTGCAAATGTTTATCATGAACACTGAAAACTGGAATATGAATGTATACTCCTAAAAGTATGCCTTGTTTCTTGATTGTTTCATTGGAGTTTTAGGCCAGAATAGTATGTGATAACTATGGCTTCAAATACTGGTTGTCACCAAACACCTGTAAAAAGGGGACTTAGGGGTGATTTCACGTGGGAAAATGGCAGGCCAAGAAGGAGTGCTGAACTTTTTCTTTGCTTGCTGCTTTTCCTCTGGCAGTGTCATGGTGACCCCTGAATTCCATGAGGACCCTGCCCTTCCAGTGACCCAAGATTTGGGTGAGCAAGCCTTTGGGAATGACTCCCCCCCCCAGGTTGGCTTCTAGGAGATGTCCTGGAAGGACCTTCGGGGTAGGTTCTTGACCAACCCCTGACAGATGAGTCCCCAGTCAAGTCAAGGGAAGGTTGAGTCACCCCCTTCCAATCCTCAATAGAAATGGTGCTAGGAGGTCCAAGCCCAGGCAGCTGTTGGTCAGCAGAGTGCAAACCTGAGAGTCTAGTGTCTACTGCTTGACTCTTGAGAAAAGGATTTCTTGAGAGTAATGGCATTCCTCAGTAGAAAGGGCTTTTAGAACAGACTCGAGTATGTGCATCTGGTGTTGGTTATATAACATTCCTTCAGCTCTTGCTCCTGGAATCTTCTGACTGTCTTCTAGCTGCCACCCTCTACATCTTGTGCTTGACCTCCACTTTATACTGCTTGGTTCTATCATGTTTTGGACCTGAGTCTGCAACAGACTCTGTTGTGCAGTCTTGCCCTACTCCAGCTACACCGGCTGAAGTCAGAAAGGCAGCCTGTTTCCCCTGCTGCTTTGACAACCTTCTGTTTTCCAACTGAAATCACACATATACACATGATTTACATTAGTTTGGCAGGAACCACTGTTTGAAGAACTGCCACTGTAATGCAGTTAGGATTGGAGATGGCATAATCCTTAACCATTGTTAAGGCCAGGGATGAGAATTGATTTCATGGAGATAGGTGGCATGTGATTCCATAACCTGCTTCTAATCCCTTAACCATGATGCAAGCATTGGGGTGCTGCATTCTGTTGGTAGGCCAATAGAATTATTAAACAAAATTCCATGTTTGTTGTCTGAGAATCAGCTGACTGGGTTGAAGTTGCCATTTAGTTTCTTCTAAAGTGACATGTTTTTGTATTGCACAAGTGAAACATTTAAGAAAGTGCTTCAATAACATTGAAGCAGTGCTTCAGTAACATTTCCTGACTGTGTGTATGTTTTTCAAAAATTCATAGTTAAAATGCCCATCAATCATCCTCTAAGGCAGTGATGGCCAAACTTGGCCCTCCAGCTGTTTTGGGACTACAATACCCATCATCCCTGACCACTGGTTCTGTTAGCTCGGGATGATGGGAGTTGTAGTCCCAAACAGCTGGAGGGCCGAGTTTGGCCATCACTGCTCTAAGGTTTCTGACTGCACATGCAAAAGGGAGCTGCAAGCCTGTATTCAGCGATACACAGTGTCATTCTGTGTGTTTACCCCATCTTCAGCCTCTTGATACAATGTTATAGAAAATTAAACTAGAAAATGGATGGTAACTGGGCACATCTTCAACATATGTGGTATTATAGTGTCCCTGCTCAGCTCACAGAGATTGTATGTTTCATTATCTACTTAAAATATATATATCTAGAAAGAATTTGTATCTTGGTGCTTCTTTTTTGTAGCCCTAATATAACAACACCAGCAAATTCTCCTTTGAACCTAATTGATTTTGAAAATGTGCTGAGAACAATCTGTACATTTCCAATAAAAGGAAACAGAAGTAGGTGTGAGGTTACATACTCAGGAAGGCCATATGGATGTGAATAGTAGAAGTAAACTATTTTTACTTCTAGCTGAACTGGGGCAAAGATGAAAAGGAAATATCACTAGTTTCTGAACCAGTCATTTTTATTATTAGGAATAGGGTTAAATATGAAAAAGTGAATTTACTTTGGCTTTAGTAAACCAGATTTATATGCACATGTGAATTTTCACTATTTGTCCATTTCCTTCATGGCTCTTTTCCTCTCTTTATAACTTGACGTTTTAAGGAAATGTGTAACTTCTACCACTAAATCACATACCTGATGGATTTTCAGAGTAACTGCTATTCATTTAGTATTTTTTCCAGAAAATTTAGTATTTCAGAATTTCTTACTGGTTAGTAATGATTGTAGAACAACATGTGATTTTATCATTGGTTGTAAATCACTTTGAGTGGTCTTTTTTAGCAGGAAGTGATACATAAATTTCATAAACCTAAACCTAACTTAAAGTAGTATGAATGCAATTGAAATCTAATAAAACTAATCAAGAGGTGGGGGCAGAAAGCAGTAAATGACTGCTACTACTGAGTGGAAACCAGGAGGAAGGAGAGCCTCATGATCTTACTAGTGGTTATCTGTTGTGTATGGCCCAAACAATCCCACGTAGGTGGAATTTTCTTCAATGCACTGGGTCTCACAAGGCCTTTGAAAAGGCTTTGCACTTCTCTGCACTGACACAAGTTGATGATAAGCTGTCTTCTGCATTTGGATGGATAAAAAGATAGAGTATAAAAATACTTGAAGAATGTCTTCCTCCAATACTTTGTGTGTGTGTGGCAGCAGTGTGTGAAGCCTGTAACTTGTTCTTTCTGAAAAGAAACTAGCACTATATTTCTAGCCTCAAGAAATTACATGTGTGATGTGTTTTACACTGAGCTGCCCAAAGCATCATTTGAAAGTCCACCTTTATAGTATGGATATATCAGAGAGACTATGCAACTGCACTGACCATCAGTTTACCTGTAGATGGAATTCAATATGATAGTTTTTACCTATATAATTCCCTGAAGGACTGGATCCTCCTGTGTGTTACCTACTGAAGTATATGCGGGTTCCCATGAAGCGAGACACAGTGATAACAGCAAGAACCTTTATTGAAGTAACAGAACTGAACAACAAGGGCAAAGCAACTGCTTATATGCTTTGAAGGCCTGGGCCACTCCTACTCTCAACGTGATTGGCTGTCTAAATTCCCAAGCTGCAAATCATAACTCAGAGTTTAAGGGCCAATGGCAGTAGCCCAAATCCTGAAATGTTCTGTGACTGGATATCATGTATCGAATCAGAACACAAGGGCTCAGAATCCTTAGTCCAAACTCAAGTTCAGGCAAACACAGACCACTGAATCCGTAACACCTACACTGAAGGTACGACTCCTTGTTAACTAGTTGTGCTTCTTATCCATGAGAGGCTACTAATAGTGCTCTCTCAGCTTATCTCGGTGAAAATCATGTCATTGTAAAAAAAAAGAAAAAAGATGGAAAAGCAGTTTAATATTTTTGGAGTTACTTGAGATATTACTAACATTACAGTTATATTTATATATTAAAAATATATTGTAACTTAAAGTGTGATGAAAAATAGTCTGTAAATACTTTTCATTCTGACGAAACTTAAATTTGATTCAGTGATTGAAATTTATATAATGATTTTTTTTTTTTTACACTACTGAACCCTGCTTGGTGTTTTTTCAAAATGCAAATTACATTAGGTGCTTCTGGCAGCTTTAATTGTGTGTTATTTCTTTCAGGCCTATATATATGAGATGCATTCAAGCACTTATTCCCATAAGTTGACTGGACACACAGAATCTGTCATCAATGTGGCTTTTAACCCTTCATCTCCTCAGGTATTTTTCTTTGTTTCTCATTTATGAATTTTAATTTCTAATTGCTTTCAGTATTAATCAGATACTGATTTCCCCCCACTGCTTTTCCCTATGCCGTCATAATTTCTGTTATTAATATCATTAAGGGTCAATTATATTTGCCTTATTTATTAATGTTTGTGGAATGGCTTTCCCACTGAAGTGCATCTTTCTCCAATTTTATATTCATTTAGCTGTCAGGTAAAACCACACCTTTTGTCAGGTTTTAAGAGGCTAAGTTATGTCATTTTCATGGTGCAGCTAATTAAATTCTTTATATATTTAATCGGATTTATTTTGAATGCTTTCCACCATTCCTCCCAGTAAGCAACAGTGACTACTTGCCAGGAAGCTAACATACCAGCTCCATTCCACCCAGCATACCACTTCTGGTGACCTATAACATTTTTGAAAATACAGTCATTTCACAATTTAATATAACTGATTATTTGTAAGAAATGTGACTGTATTTCGGATAAAGTTACATTTGTACCTTGGAAGTCGAACAGAATCTGTTCTGGAAGTCCGTTCAACTTCCAAAACGTTTGAAAACCAAATCGCAGCTTCTGATTGGCTGCAGCCAATCAGAAGCCACGGAACCCCGTCGGAGCTTTGGGTTCCAAAAGAATGTTCACAAACCAGAACAATCACTTCCGGGTTTGCAGCGTTCGGGAGCCAAAACGTCCGAGTTCCAGGGCGTTCAGGATCCAAGGTATGACTGTACTTTAATTGAATATATTATGACTGATTACCAAGTAGGCATTGTAATATGAATGTTTTAAAGGGACTCTTTCATTGTGTATTTAAATTAATAAAATAAAATTATGAAGAATCTTTATATTATATAAACTTGGGTGATTTTTTTAAGCTTGTAAACTGCTTAGAAGCCTATTTTAGAATTAACTGGTAAAATAAATGAATAAATGTAATAATATTTGTCATTAGGGAAAGGATATTTGAATCTTGCTGTCATTTAAGTGGGTCATTTTAGCTAGTGTAACTTTGGAAATCCCCCTTTCAGTTACAGTTGCACTTCAGTTACAGACAGAGGAAGTTTTATACTGAATTTTGCTGTGGAAGTACCTACCCACTGGCCAATAGGGAAATTTACATCCAATACAAGCTTCCTAGACAGCAGAATTTTCAGGGCTGAAATCACCAGAATTTATTTATAATTGGATATAAGTAGTATTGGATGGGTCTAAAAATACGAGTTACTGAATTTTTACTGGCTACCAGGAAAAGCTTGTTTTCCCTGGTGACAACATCTGGAGAACTCAAGTTTAGAAGAAAGACATATATGAAAACATTGTTCTTCTCTGGTTCATTGCCACCTGTTCACTTAATCATCAGTAGCATGTAATTTTCCACAAGTAAGCTATGTTTTGTAGTGATAGGGGAAAATCCTTTTTCTTTTCATCATTCACCAAATTTTGGCTTTGACTTGGCATTAAATTAGGTTATTCCTCTGTGGCTTGCTGTGTGCTTTCCGTCATGTGAAAGATTGCAAGATTCTTTATTAAAAGACAAGCATCCTAATTCTCAAAGTTGTATTGTGATTGCAATAATGCATTAGTTGTGAGTCAGAAAGCTCTTAAAGACAGAGATTTACATGTGGTCTCTTCACAGCTGACCTAAATTGGGTAGACTGGAGATATGGAATCTCTAAGTCACCTTTATGATATAATGGTTTCCAAGAAGTAGAATTTATCAAGTAGAAATGGAGTACCGTTTTGCACGTGGGAAGTAGAGAGACGGAAGTAAAAGGAAGCATTGCTGTCTATAACAGAAAACAGAGGGAAGGACAGGGGTGAAAACAGCATTAATTGAAATGTCCTCCTAATATAAGAGAAGTAGCCAAGACACATTTTGGGACATACAGATTCACCCATTTTTAAAAAGATAAATTAGGGGTGTGCATTGCATTTAGACAAATTCCGAATCTTGAGCTGAATTGGATTGATAAGACAGTATTTAGGAGCTGCATGACCTGAAGCAGGAGCCCTCTGAATTGCCACAATTAGAATCAGGGACATCTGAAGCAATTCAGGCCAGTTTGGAGATTTCAGTGTTTAAAAAACTGCATACCGTGTTAAAATGTTTCTTCCCAAGCTTGTCATATAAGAAAAGACATGGGGGTGAGAGGAAGGAGGGAGAATGGGGTGTTTAGCTGTGTAACTGACAGATCTAGCTTTTAATCAGGTGGAATGATTTTACCAGGACTCTCAAATAAGAACGCTTTGGGGAATGATTTTTGTTATCTTTAATATTGTTATCTTGGTTGTATACGCTTGACATTTTGTCTCAGAGGCTTTAAGCATGCTAAGACATCAGAAGCAATAACTAAAGTGTAATAAACATTTCTATTTTGACTAGACAGCATGGAATAATTTAAATCATCTTATTTATTAAAGGAAATACGATCAGAAGACTAGATGATGTAAAAATTGAATACTGCTTCTTTCAGAAATTATTACTTACTTCTTTCAGAAATAACTGCTTACTAATAATGGCATCATTTATGTCACCACAAAATCTTTCCCTTTGTCATTGTGATTGCAACCTTTCTGGATGAGACTTATTTAAGCTGCGACAAAACCAAGGGCAATATGACATCAACAGTGTGTGCCATTTGGAATCTTTCAACCATATTTGTACTGAGTAAATCTTTGTACATGGTGGATTTATTAGTTTCTGCAGTACTAAGTCACGTAACACTGCGATTTAGAACATTATGTTTGTTCCTTTTCACTTTTATTAGCAAACAATTTGTGAACGTTCTCCAGAGTCAATTACTGTCTGTATTTTTCAAATGAAGGAGATTGCAGATAATTAACTTCTGCTTTATTCTTTTTCACTGCTATTTTTCCTACTTTAAAAATATTTTTATGACACACTGTATGATCCTCAGAAAGATGTACCTCTTGCAAGGGGAAATTGGATGGGCCCTAATAATTTGTCCAAGCCAATCTGAGGTTTCAGAAAAATGTCCCTAACAGCTCTTGTTATTACTGAAAACCCTTTTTGCCCCCAATCCCAATCCTCTTCTTCACTTCTCTTTATTTCCCTGTGTCAGTACATGGGAGAAACGAGAGAAGGAAGATTTCTTTTTTCTCCTTTCTCTCTTCTACCTCTGTTACCGGGTTCCACTAGGTGGTAGTGCACCATGGCACAGAAGCCTTGGGTATTATGGGAGATATAGTTATCTTTGAGATCTCCTGCAACTTGCTGTAGCTCTCAGGAGAACTACTGCTCCCATGTTCCCTTGGTATTTGTTCTGTGGCAAAGAGCTACCCAGAGCATCACAAACAGAGAGGGAAGGGGGAAACCCCCATTATCTACCCTCCCACAATCACCATTTGACAGGAAGCAAAGAGAAGTAGGGCAGATGTTTGAAGGGCTAACAAGGAAGGCTTTTGTTGCTGGTGAAGGATGATGCGGGGAGAACTAGACATGAATCTCCAGCTTGGAATTTCATCTGAGCTGGGGAAGAATTCAAGGGTTTTAAAAAAAAAATATTACTTCTTGTTTGACGCAGGCTTTGTGACGCAGTCACAAATTACTTCTTGTTTGACGCAGGCTCTGTGAATCCCAAAGTTCATACCTGAGCTTGGCTTGGAAGAACTTTACTAGCATCTCTAGACGTCATATAATGTAAACTTAATTGAAGATCTAACAACTGGGCAAAATTACAATGTAGTAGATAGGAAAATAGAGGGGTCTTGAAACAAATTCTCATCTCTAGACTATATTATTTATGTGCAGCTTGTGAGGCAGCACACATATAATTTTTGCATGCAATATCCTACCTATGGGGTTTGGAACTTAACAGGTTAAGTTGTTCCCATGATGCCTCAGCATTCTGACGTCAGCTTTGGAAGCTGGGAGGAGTTTCTTTCTTCCTCTCGGTCTTTGAGAGAGAAGGTCGCAGTTTGTCATGGCTGCGGTGAGCCCAGGAGTTTTCTGGGGAATGCCGGAAGAATAAAGGACTGTAAATAGACAAACTGGACTCTGTGTGTTTGTCGGAAGCTAAGTAAAGCTAAGTGACAGTTTTCACCGCTGTGTTCAACTCTGCTGAGGCGTGACCGGAGCTACTAGAGACGGAGCAGAGTCTTGCGGCAGGGAAGTGTGCCGGACTGGCTATAAAGAGCTAATTGGGACCGTAAATCAATTAGCGGGGTCACGCCAAACCAATCAACCAATTCTACAGGTTATGGGTAGCCTAATCACCGATTGTAAAACTGTCACTTGAGGCTGCCGGGAACGCTTTGAAGTCTGCAGTTTAAAGCAGAGAAGCGTTCGGAGATTTTTGCCTGTTGCTAAGAGGCAAGGAGAGCTGCGGAGCTCAGAGCAGCTGAGAACGGGTGCTGATTAAGCTGGTGAGTACAGCTTGGGGACCCTTGGGAGAACGGAAGACAATGGCAGGCAGCCAGGTCTTGGAGGACGTTAGCGTCTGGAAAGCTCACTCTAAGAAGTTGAGCAAGGGCGTAAAGTCAGCAAGGGTTGTCTGGGATGTGCTGTGAAACTTCAGCAGGAGGCCAGAGCCCTGGAGAAGGATTGAGAAGCCTAGAGATGGCTGGAGCCCCTGTTCCTGATGTTTTAGCCTCAAGGAGCGCTAGTGAGCAGGTCGGGGGGGCGAAGAATTCCAAAGGCACGGTTAAAAGGTCTTCCACTGTACGTGCTGGAATGGAGTGGCGGTTCAGAGGGGGCGGAGCTGGCAAGGAGTGCTTTTCCGGAAGAAGGAGGGCCAGGCCAGCTGGGAGGAGCCCCGGGCAGTGTTTTTCCACTGATCGCCGTTGCTACGTTTGTAATTCAACGGGACACTTGCGTCGAGATTGCCCCCACCGGAGCAGAGAGGCAAGGCAGGATGTTGCCAAGGTCAACCAGCTGAGTTCCCATGGGAATCAGTCTCAGAGAGGAGGCCAGCGTGGGAACGCAAGGGAAGGACGTGGCTCAGACACTGGGGAGGGTTGTTTTCTTAT